GAGATGGAGGAGAGGACCTTCAGCATCCCTTGCACGCTGCCATCCACTGTCACAGGAGGCTGTGGAGCAGATGGGGAGATGCAGCCTATGTTCAAGGCCTGGCTGAGGGCCAGGAGCAGTTGGAGCCAGGGGAAAGAGCTGCTCCAAGGCAAAGTGAAAGCTGAAAACCCCAGGGAGAGRGAYTGAACAGGGAACTGAGGGGATGGGCGCACCCAGCAGCCAGGACCAGGACAGGGGCATCTGCCCCAGCAGCCATTGGGCAGGCAGGGAATTCATGGGCAGGGACTCAGGGCAGCAACTCCCACCCAYGGAAAATSAGCACAGGAGCTCTGATGGACCTGCCCCAAAGGWATTCCTACCGTGTGTCCAGCAGAGCTGCCCATATCAGTTTGCACCCAGCCAGGGTGGAGAGCGATACAGAGGATGCCGTGCTCTTTGTATGCCAGGGACTGGCACTTGGTCAGCATGTTCAGAGCAGCCTGTGGGGAGACAGGGAGGGGATAATGGTGGGAGGGAAGGGGGATTGTAAACGGACCCACACCTGGGACAGAGCAGGGGAAGTGAATTTGTCCCCAACACGTGTGACARTACCTTGCTGCAGCGGTACGAGGTAACTTGCATCAGGTCCCAGCCAAAGGAACTAGCAATGGAGCCACCAATGCTGGACATGTTGACGATGGCAGCCTTGCTGCAGCTCAGCCCTGAGCCTGGGCTCCCCTGGGCAGCCTTCTTCAGCAAGGGCAGGAATGCCTGTGAGGACACAGAGGGGACAGGATCACATACAGACGTGGCACAGGGCAGGGGAGCAGCTCCTTCCACAGCACTGGAGCATCCTCCCTCCTCTTCCCTGCCAGGCTCCAGYTCCTGAGCTCCAGCCCATGGCTCCAGAAACTTCTCATCAACTGAGAGCCCTTTAGTAACCATAGTGGAGGCAGGACCCCCTCCCACGGCCCTTCATGCTCCCCCAGGACAGCCCAGCTTAGGTGAGGGACTCACCTGGGCCATCAGCAGGGGTCCAACTGTGTTGGTGGTGTAAATCTCAGACATGTCCTCCAGTGTCTCAGTATCAAGTGAGTTCAACTTTACAATTCCAGCATTGTTGATGAGAAGGTTCAGCCCAGAGCCCCCCAGGTGCTCCCCAACCTTGGCTGCAGCTGCCTTGATGCTGGCAGGGTTGGCAACTTCTGCAGAGCCAATACAGGGGAGATCAGTGCCTGTGTCCCCATGGTGGAGTCCCCTCTGTTCCCCCAGAGACAGCAGTGCCYGATGGCCCCACAGGCACCAGCCCGTTGGCACAGCTCCCTCCCAGCACAGGACTTCCAGGGCGTGCCCAGCCTGGGCACTTGCCAGAGGAACTGGGGCAAAGGATCCCCACCTCGGGGCACCTACCGAGCGGGATGATGACGATGTTGGGGTGCTTGGAGGCCAAATTCTGTAACTCCTGCAAGAGAGGGCACTGTGTGGGCACRGAGAGGCTGCAGGGGCTGGGCAGAGGTTCACCCCTTCCCAGGCAAAGCCCATGCCACTCCATCTCTGTCCCTGCACCACTTTGTGCCCAACACCCTGATCCAGCTGCCACATCACAGGGGCTCTGCCTTCTATACATGCCATATGCCATTCACCCCTCCATACATTCCATGCACACTGGTCCCACAGTGTCCCAGCCCAGATGAGCTGTGCAGCAGGTGCCCGGCTGCAGCTCYAACCCCTTGCAAACACCATTCCTGATCCAGTCTTCCCATGGCACTGAGTGCTCCCATCCCTCAGCACAGCCACTGCCTCCCAGCCCAGCCTCACCTGTGCTCGCTGTCCCTTGGGGTCCCGACAGCCTGCAAAGATCCACTGAGGTGGTTTTGGCATCTTCAGAAAATGCTGGACAAGCCCCAGGCCGATGCCCCGGTTGGCCCCAGTCACCAGAAGGGAGCGGACRTGGAGTCCTGCCATGCTGCTCTGGCTGACACTGCACTGCTCTCCCCTGGACTCTGCCAGTGCCTTTTGCTACTTGGTTATCTCTCATGTTCCCATGAGGACTTGCATCAGCTCGTGGCTCTCGGAAATTCTCTGCCTTCACCTCAATCTCTTGGCTCTGGTCCATACCCATGATCCACTTTGCCCAGTGGCTGTGAAATGACGCAAAGAGAGCCAAGTGTCCTGCCCAGGCAGGGAATGCCCTGGGATAGGTGTCTGGAGTGCCGCTTTATGCACCTTCCCTGCTCTACCAAACCTAAACTTTTTGGTTTTCAGGGCTAGCAACTGTCCCTGTCCTTGCACCGAGCCGCTCTCCCACCACTTCCCTCCCTCTTGGGATCCCAGACCTGTCCCGCCCCGTGCCCAAGGTCAGGCAGGCAAGGCTGGACTCACTGACTCTGCACAGTGCAATTTGCTGGCCTTATTTTGTGTAATATCAAAGCCAGGGTTAGGGATGGGGCAGTCAGGACAGGTGAGTGTTCCTTGAGGATGGAGCAGCCAGGACAGGCGAGTGTTCCTTGGCCAAAAGAACAGGCTGAGAAACCTAGAAAAACCTCCAGGACCACTGGGAAAARCCTTCCAGGGCTGTCCAGAGCGATCCCTTCCTCAGAGTCAGCTCTAAAAGCACTTATAATATTCAAGTGAGATAGAAGGATAATCCCTGCCCAATCCCTGGAAGTGTTCATCACCAGGCTGCACAGGCTTCTGAGCAACCTWGTCTAGTATAAGGTGTCCCTGTTTGTGGCAGGGGGATTGGAACTAGATAGTCTTTAAGGYCCCTTCCAGCCCAAGCTATGGTGCTATGATTCTRTGATAAAATTCAGTTTTGCCCCTGGGTGTGACTTTGGTGTGGCTGGGAGCCAGGGCTGTGCCCTGGCACACACACTGCAGGTGAACATCCAGTCCTAGTGTGGTCCAGGTACTCCCCAACTCTGTCCTGCAGCAGAGACTGAACTGACTGATRCACTGAATGCCCAGGGAAGCATCTTAACTGGTGGATTCAAGAGCTTTGGGACAGGASTGAAGATCACAGAATCATAGAATCATCCCCCAGGAGCTCYCGCTGCACCTAAAGTCAATGGAGAACATTGACCTGCCCGTTTCCAGGTGTCCCCACCATGCAGGGATGGTCTGGGCACTGATGAATGATGGATAAATTTGACTTAGTGAATCTTAGTGATCTTTGCCAATCTAAATTATTTTCTGACTCCATGATCCCATGGCCTCCCCAGCTGGTTCCTGCTGCAGCATCACCCAAACTACACATTTGCAACAGTGGAATGTATACATTTAAGATAGTTCAGAGACATTGTGTAGGTAGTTGAAGGTAATTAAAAGCCACTTATCCAGGTTGTGATTGGGCAGGTGTAAGGGCTGTAAGCTTGTGGAACCTCTCCTGCTCCAGCTGGAGATGCTGCTCCAAGGACCTTTGCAACTGGACCACGATCAGTTGTCATGTTCAGGAGATCTGATCCTCCATCTGTGTGCTGCCTTATGCAACCATTTCAAATAAATTACTAAAATCCAAAAACTTTTGTCTTTAAGAGCAAACKCTGCTGCCCACTCTTGTGTGTGTATGGTGGGTTGACCCTGGCTGGATGCCCAGCATCCACCAAAGCCACTCTATCACTCCCCTCTGCAACTGGACAGGGGAGAGAATAAAATGTAACAAAGGTTCATGAGTTAAGATAAGGWCCGGGAGAGATCACTCACCCAATCCCGTCATGGTCAAAACAGACTCGAATTGGGGATATTAACTGAATTTGTTAYTAACAAAATCAGAGCAGGATAACRAGAAGATAAATCTGAAAAACACCTTCCCTCCACCACTCCCTCAATCCTAGCTCTACCTCCTCCCCCTCAGAGGAGCAGGGAATAGCAGTTATGGTCAGTTCATCACAGGTATTCCCTGCTGCTGCTCAGGGAGAGGAGTTGGAGTCCTTCCCCTGCTCYAGTGTGGGTTTCCCATGGGCTYACAGCCTCCTCTCAGGCATCCACCTGCTCCAGAGCATCCTCCCCCAAGGGCTGCAGGTGGATCTYTGCATCCCTGCATGGGCTGCAGGAGCACAGCTGCCTCACCAGGGTCTGCACTGTGAACTGCAGGAGAATTTCAGCTCCAGTGCCTGGAGCACTTCCTCCCCCTCCTTCACTGACCTTGGTGTCTGCAGAACTATTCCTTTCACATGTTCTCACTCCACTCTTCTCTGGCTGCAATTACGTCTGCACAATAACTTTTTTGTTTTCTTCTTAAATATGTTATCACAGAAGCGTAACCACCATTGCTGAAGYGTTTGGCCTTGGCCAGCAGCATGTCTGCCCTGGATCCAGCTGGCRCTGGCTCTGCTGGACATGGAGGAAGTTTCCGGCAGCTTCTCACAGAAGCCACCTCTGAAACCCCCCTCATACCAAAACCTGGCCATGCAAACCCAACACAGTGTGACATTAATCCACCTTGTTGTATCGTTTCACCACCCTTAAAGCCAGCCCACCGACGGAACCACAGCCTCCGGCACAGGCATGAGAAGGAACCGACCACCCTGAGCCACCTGAACTGGGTGAGAGGAGGAATCTGCCCTCCCTTCAGCCAGAGCATTTCCCAGGTTGTTTAACAGATTTTACCACATTAAGTGGCTTTAATACCTTAAGATGAGACAAGGCATGGGCAAACCTGTTGAGTCAGGATGCCTCTTCCCATGGGCAACCACCTGGGGAGACCCTGGGACTGCTTGGAACAATTGGAGCCAAAACTAAAGGAAAGAATGTGAAAACAAAGTAAAGTTCCAGGGATGGTTTGGCATCACATGTGAACCACTGAATGAGAAACAGTACTAGAGCAGGTAAAAATATGGAGAATCCTGGAATGATTCCGGTTGGAACGGACCTGTTGCTCCAACACCCTGCCATAGGCAGGGCCACCTTCCCCTTAGCTCAGAGCCCTGTCCAACCTGGCCTTGAACACTGACAGGGATGGGGCCGTCTCAGCTTCTCTGGGCAACCTGTGCCAATGAGTCCCCSCAGCATCAGCGAAGAATTTCCTCCTCATATCTAATCTAAACCTGCCCTTTATTCAGTTTGAAGCCATTCCCCTTTATATTACCACTACATGCTCTTGTCCAAAGTCCCTCTCCAGCTCTCTTGTAGCCCTGGTACAAGGAASGTACTGGATGGTACTCTGACCGGAGTGTGCTACCTCAGACTGTGATTAGAGCAGGCTGCCAAGGGCTGGCACAGGTYATGGCAGCTCCTGGTTAACCTGTGTGACTCCCTGCCCCAGAATGTGACAGAGCTAAGTAGACCATGAAAAATGGGATTGTGGTGATACATCCCCAACCTTCCTCTGGACTAGGAGGAGACAGACACCTGTGGGGGGGGGGGCTTGTTCCTGCCAGGGGTAGGCAGCACAGCCAGGTGGGTGAGCCCTGCACATTCTTCACCCTTGGCGATCCAGCTCTGGAGACCCTCAGGGCCTCAGCACCTGTCGGTACTGGAAAAGGYTCCAAGGTCTCCCCGGATCCTTCTCTTCTAGACGGGCGCGTGTATGGCAAGGAAAAACGCCGGGGATGGGCATAGCGATAGGGCGGGGGATAAGGATGAGGACYGGATAAAGGCGAGACGGAGGGTCGGGGTGGAGATGGGAAGGATCGGCACCTGGGATCGACCCTGCGCCGGAGATGCCGGGCCCGGCGGAGCCCCTGCCCCCTCCCCGCCCCGGAAGCGGCGCTGCCGGCCCGGTTCCTGTTCCGGGCCCCGGGGCCATGGCGGCCATGGCGGCCGCTGCGCCGGGCGGGGCGAGCCCGGGGCTGGCGGCGGGGGATAGGTGAGGGGGGCTGGGAGGGGGGTCAGCCCCGTCTGTCCTCAGCCCCTGCCTGGCCCCAGCCCCGCCTGGCCCAGCCCCTGCCTCCCCTCAGCCCCTGCCTCCCCTCAGCCCCTGCCTCCCCTCAGCCCCTGCCTGTCCTCAGCTCCTGCCTGGCCCAACCCCTACCTGGTCCAACCTCTCTTGGCCCAGTCCCTGCCCAACCTCCGCCCCTGCCTATCCTTTTCTCGCCCAGCCCTACTTGTCTCCAGCTGTGCCCGTCCCCAACCCCGCCCGGCCCAGCCCTGCCTGTCCCAGCCCCACCTGTCCCCAATTCTTCTCCCTTTCACAATTCAGAGAGTTATGGTTAAGACCTGGTCACAGGAAAATARTTATTGGGGGATAATAAACAATATAGAAGGAGGTAAAAATAAACATCCTGTCCTGTGTGGGAGTCTTGTAGAAGGCCGAACACACTTCAGAGCTATGGGTGTCCCCCTCCACTGTTCGAGGATGCAGCAGGACCTTTGTGCCCCCAGCACCRTGGCTTCCTCAGCACAATGCCCTTAGGATGGTTCCTTGCAGAGAAGTGGGTGCATTTGGGCTGGATTTGAGCAATCTCCTGGGTCTGTGACTATGTTTGGGTGCAAAACCCTTCCCGGGATGAGGGAGCACTGCTTATGGCTTGGTGTCTTGTTTCTTCTCATGTAGTCTTGAGTGTACAGACAACAATGTGGCTTCTCCCAAACTCTACGTCATGGAGCCGTGGATTGCTGACCTCTTGGTGAATTATGAGCAGTCGGATGAGAGTGAGAATTTCCTGGCTGGGCAGGTGGTGCGGGTAGGTACCCAGAGGGACTGTCCCACAGTGCTTCAACAGGCTTTGAAATCTAAATTCTGGGAGGTGCTCAGTGGTTTCCAGTTTGGTGACTGTGGGTATGTAACTCTTCCTCCTCAATATCTCTGGTTTTAATTTTTTTTCAGGGAAGAGGAAGGTGGTGACCACTTTCCTGTGAAGCTTGTTCCAGGCCTATAAACAAGAGTTCTTTCTTTCCCCTCTCCAATCTCTTGACAGGTCTTGAGTGACTCAGGTGCTCCTGACCAAACTGGGGTCCTCCAAGATGCTGTCGTGGAGGTCTCTGATGGATCCTGCCACATCCGTGTGGTCATCACACCCGAAGCTCTGCAGGCAGAGGAAAAGTGGGTTCCACCSTGACTTGGCATGGCTGGGACAGCAGTTCTGCCTGCTGCTGTGAGGAGCTGGGGCTCCTGCCTGGTCTTGTTTCAGGTTGTGTTTAGCTAAAGCAAATCTCAGGGTGGGAAATTGGTGTGCAAGAGCTCTTCAGAGAAGAAAGCCAGAATGCACATGCTCCAGTGTCCCCTGGTTTGGATGGGCAGGGACCTGTGGCAGAAGCTGTGATGGCTTTAGAAAGGACCGTAGAGCCCATGGGTTTTGTGAAAGGAGCCAGAGCATTAACCATGGCAGCCTGGGCTGCTCCWTCAGTGCTTTCCTCCATTTCCACATTTGGACACTCTTTTATTGGTGGGGGTGCTGGTAGCAGAGCCAAGGATAAGCAGCAGGAGGAAGATGCTCTTAGGCAGGAATCATTAAGGAATAAGGAGCCCTTGGTCCTGGCTGCTCATGCTGAGATTGTTCCAGAATGSCCCAGTATGGYTGGCAGAGTTGTTGGGGAAACCCCRCTGTGTGTCGGGGGGGGTCCAGCTCTGTTCTTCAAGGCATTCCTGCTCTGCTCCTTTTCCAGCGCCCACCTGCAGCTCAGTCTTTCCAGCCTTACTTGCAGAATTATCGTCCTGCAGAGGTACACAGTGTGTTTTCAGGAGGAGGCCAGGCTGGTAAGTGCTCTGAGGGGTGGAAGTGGTTCCTTTACCTTGCTGTGCTTCCTACACTCTTGCCTGTTTTCACCCAGGAGCTGAAGGCATGTGATGAGTGGCCTTTCATCTTCATCTGCAGCTCCTGTGGGGTCTGTGGTAGCTGGTCTGGGTGCTGGGATAGGGGTGAACCCTCCCTGGGGATAGGGTGCATCTCCCTCAAGGCCATCTGGATGTCATCTCTGGCTGTTAAGCAGCCACAGAAGGCCTGCATGGGCTGGTGGCAGAGCTACCTACTGTCCCCTTGCAGGGGTTCAGAGGTGTCCGCACAGCCTCTTGTGGGCTGGCCCACGCTGGCATGTGGCTCTTGCAGAGCCATTAGCTGACTCAGAAAGATACAAACTCCCTTTTGAAGGGACATTGTCCTTTGTGAGGGGACCCTCTCTCAGGCTAGAGGGTTGGTGGCAGAGCTGGGGTGGGTGTGTGAGTGCTGGGTGGCCCCAGGGGGGGTGGGGGCAGAGGTGGGACTCAGAGGTGCCTCACAGGCTCTGTCCTCCCCACAGGAGGACTGCGAGTTTTACCTCAGGGCCCACCAGTTCATCGTGCTGCCCATGCAGAGGCAGAGGATGGAATCATCTAATGGGTATGGCCCATGGGTTGGGTGGGCAGGGCTCTACTCAGGGGGTCTCCTTCCTCTTCCCACAGCAGTACTGACCCTGGGAGTCCTGATGTGACCTGCTTGTGCTGGGGACCTTTTGAAAGTGGGATTGTCTGCACAGCAAGGGAGAAGGAAGGTGGGAATTTAGAGGGAATCAGTAACTGGCTTCTCTCTTGCTGCAGGAACCAGGATCCTGCTGTGGTGAAGAAGATAAAGGAGCTCTGGCAGTGAGTATGGGTCTCAGGGATTATCCAGACACCCTGRTGGGAGTGTGCTACCTCAGACTGTGATTAGAGCAGGCTGCCAAGGGCTGGCACAGGTTATGGCAGCTCCTGGTTAACCTGTGTGACTCCCTGCCCCAGAATGTGACAGAGCTGAGTAGACCATGAAAAATGAGATTATGGTGAYACATCCCCAACCTTCCTCTGAGGAAGAGAGACACCTGTGGGGGGCTTGTTCCTGCCAGGGGTAGGCAGCACAGCCAGGTGGGTGAGCCCTGCACAGYTCATTCTTCACCCTTGGTGATCCAGCTCTGGAGATCCTCAGGGCCTTCCATCAGTCCAGGAACGAGGCTCTCTGATGGGCACAGGAATACTGAGCACAGGCCAGTGGCCAGATCCAGCACCCAGTGGGGAATCCCAAACTTTCATAAGCTTCGTATCCCAAGCCAGGATGTTTGAACTGTGATTAAGAGCTGCTTATGCCCCAGCCCTAACCTGCTTTGTCTTCTCCTTGGTCATTACAGGAGGAGTCTCGCTGTGAGGAGCGCTCCCAGCTCAGGTAAATGGTTTTGGGGGGTATGCAGTGCTCTGGCTGCCTGATGGGGCCCCTGGGTTTCCTCAGCTTGGTCCGTGTTAGGCAGAGGTAGCGCAAACCTGGTCAGATCTCACAAAGTCTTGCTAAATCCAAAACAGGATGAGGTGGTGCTGATAGCTAAAGCAGAGTGGGACACTGTGCCTGTGCTCATGATTCTGGTCCAAGATGTGAGGAGAAAGGAAAGATAGTTTCTAGAAGCAAAGGAAATGCAGACTTTTGGGTGTTTCCAGGTTTCAGTGCCATGCAGTCACCAAGTCATACAGCAGAGTAAAAGCATTTTCAGTGAGGCTTGCCTGAGTTCAGCTGTCWCTTCCACCGATGTCTRTTGTGTTCTTGCTCCAGAACCCTCMGTCTCTCAGCTGATTGATGCCATAGGACAGAACCAGCTGGAGATTTTGAAGAGTAATGCTGAGGAATGCTTAGATTTAGAGAAATCCAAGGAGGAGCCAGTTACAGAGGAGGACGAGGTTCCCATCACCCCATGGGAGGCAGAGTGCACGAAAGAGGTCAGTCTGCTGGGACCAGCTGAGACAGGGCTGTGACAGTTTGGGGTGCTCTGGTGGGGTGRGAGAAGGAAGGGGAAGGACAGTGGGCAGAGCTGGAGGTTTGCTGGRGAGGGAGATGGCTGTTGGGCGGGTGGGTACAGGTGGTCTTCTGCATCTGGAGGGGGACTGCCTAGCAAAAACCACGTAACATGTCTCATTTCAGCAGGGTGAAGATGTTTTCGTGGTCCCAGTCAGCGCYCTGGTGATCCCTCCTGAGGAGGAGGCAGTTGTTTGTGATTCTTCTGAGGCTGCATGTGCAGGCTACACAGGTGGGCAGTGCAGCACCCAAGCATGTGCAATGAGGGGCTACCTGGGGAGAAAAGTTCCTTTGCTCTGACTGTGCCTCATGCTGGGGATATGACCAGCAGTGCCCCTTTTGTTGCAGATACAAGCAAAACAGTTTCTGGAAAGAATGGTGATGACAGGATGGTGTCAGGAGACCCGAGTGTTGTGTCCCAAAGCAGCTGTGAGTAGCACGACCTCCAGATCCTAGAATGATTTGTGTTGGAAGGGACTTTAAAGACTTATCTAGCTCCAATCCCCTGCCTTGAGCAGGGACACCTTCCATTAGACCAGGTTGCTCCAAACCCTGTCCAACCTGGCCTTGAACACTTCTAGGGCTCGGGCAGCCACAGTTTCACTGGGCACYCCCTGACAGGGCCTCCCCRCCCTCACAGGGAAGAATTTCTTCCAAATGTCTAATCTAACTCTGCTCTCTGTCAGTGTGAAGCCATTCCCCTTAGTTCTGTCACTTCAGGACCTTGTCCAAAGTCCTTCTCCAGCCCTCTTGGWGCCTCTTTAGATTCTGGAAGGTTCTCTAAGGTCTCTCTGGAGCGTTCTATTCTCCAAGCTGAATAACCCCAAGTCTTTCAGCCTGTCTTAATAGCAGAGATACTCCAGCCCTTGGATTGTCCTCAGGGCCTCCTATGAATGCTCCAGATCCCATCCAGCCTCTAGTTTCCTCTACAGTTGGCTCAGCCCATCTCCTTGGATTGAGCTCTGGAGGTGCTGGTGTGGCCAGGTCTTTGGGAGACCTTGAGCAGGCAGGGAATGGTTGCATTCCTTAAGTTCTGGTTCATTGTGCTGGGAGCACAAGTCATTTTGTTTTTTGATGCCTTCACTAAGCCTGAGTCTCCTGCCCAAGTGTGGGCTCCTCACTGGCTCTGGCTCAGCACAGGATGGGCTTGTGTCACTTTACTGGGCTTGGTGTCACCAGGCTTTGCTGCAGAAGTACCTGTGGAAGCTCCATGTGGAGGAGGAGCTGAAGGGAGGTGCTGTCCTGRATAGTGCAGGGTGCAGGAGAAGGCCTTCTTCACATCTGCCTGCTCTCTGGGCAGTGTCTGCCTCTCCACTGCTGCTGGATGAGATCTTGGAAAGGGTCTGACTCCAATACTCTACATTTTGGGCTGGAATGGGCTTCAGGCCCTTCAAGAGCTGCCTCTGTCTGAGACCTTGTGCACAGGGGACCCACAGGGAACAGGCAGCTGCTTTCTTTGCCAAAATCAACCCTCCAGCTTCTTCATTGCAGGTGCCGCATCACCAACCTTGTCAGATAGCTTGGAGGGATCCCTGGACAACCCCTGGAACAGGCTGCCCTCATTGTCTTTGACCATGAGCTCTTCAGATGGTGAGCCTCCATGTCTCAGCCCATCCAGCCTGCCTTTCTGGCAGGAGACAGCTGCTCTCTTCTTATGGGGTAGCTCATTCTGAATGCTGGCTTGATTTCCCCTGGCCAAAAAGCAGTGCTGGGGTGTTCCCATTACCCTGTGCCTGCATCATTCCAGCCCTGACATTCTTCCTGTGTGCCAGGGGCAGGTCCTGCCACCAGTCCCCTGCTCAAACTGATGATACTTTTCTTCRTACTAGAAAAGACCTTTCAAACTGATGCTTCCCTGAAGACCCAGAAGGATGTGACGGCTGACAGCAACACCACCGACCTGCTGGAAGTGTGTAGCCAGGACTCTGCCGAGGCCTTGCCACAGGAAGAGCCACAGGAAGAGCCACAGGAAGAGCCACAGGAAGAGCCAGTACAGACCTCCTCTCTCTCCCTGCTCCACTCCTACAGCAATGCCAGTCCGGTGGAAGTCAGCACCAGTGAGGCAGCATCAGCTGCAGAGGCAGCCTGGGATACCTCGTGTGCTGCTCCAAGCCCCCAGGAATTGAAGGGCTCTCAGACCACCCTGCCCACTCCTTCCCCAGTTTTTCCAGTCTTGCCCAGCAGCAGCTTTCAGTCCCTGTCCGACAGGATGCCTCGCAGGGARGAGGCCTGCTCCAGTGGCATAGCTTCCTCTCCAGATGTGTTGAAGCCTGGACTGGCCCACACCAGGACAGAGAGAGGAGATGCTGTGGGTGCCAAGAGAAAGCTGGAAGAGGCCCCCAGTGGGCAGCAGCATCCCCCAGGCACCTCAAGGGACAGGGGGAGAGGCATAGTCAGGAGATTGGAGCTCATGAGCCCACCAGGTGCAAAGAAGACCAGAAAAGAGACAGGGCTGTGGCATAGAAGGGAGCTTGAGGAGGAAGAGGAGGTGGAGGAGGAAGAGGAGGTGGAGGAGGAAGAGGAGGTGGAGGAGGAAGAGGAGGTGGAGGAAGAAGAGGAGGTGGAGGAGGAAGAGGAGGTGGAGGAAGAGGAGAAGGAGGAAGAGCTGGAGGAAGAGCAAGCATCCCCCGTGAGAGCTGGATCCAGCTCCAGCCTGGATGAATGCAGAACTCCAGAGCTGGTAAATATGAAGCAGCTGGTGGGGTGCCCTGATGGCTGGGTATCCCCAGGGAGGTTCTCTGTGCCCACACTGCTAGTGTCTGTCCCAGGATATTTCCTCACCAGGCTGGTGGGGATGGGAAGTTGAAAGCAGGTGTCAGTGTAGATGTGGAGGATCTGGGAACACTGAGGGAACCATGAGGGAATTATGTAATCACTTAGGCTGGAAAAGACCTCATGAGATCAAAGCCCATCCATGCCCCAGCACTGCCAAGTCCACYACTGAATCATGGCCCCARGTGTCACATCCATTCRCCCTTAAACCCCTCCCGGGGTAGTGAAGATGTGATTTGGCCTGAGCTGGGTGGGAACAATTACTGGAGCATCTTCCAAGCTGTCTGAGTAAAGTAAGATTGAAAGAACAGAGGGAGAGACTCCTCAATCCCACAGTTTTCCAGGGGCTGTTGGGTTCTCAGGCTGCATGGGGCAGACCYATCTCACCCTCCCCTTTGCTTCTGCAGTTCCTGAAGAGACTGCCYCAGTACCAGTACAAGGCACCGAGCCCCGAGCTCCGCCAGCAGATGCAATCTATCAGGTGAGTGCCATATCAGCCATGGACTCATGCTGTCCCTTGTCCCTGCAGTGAGATTCACATCCCTGCAATGGAACCTTTGCTTTGCCCCTTGTCACCAGCTGCCCCAGTAATGTGTCCACAGCTGGATCTCTTCTCACCCAGGCTCCTCCTGTCTGGTTTTTCAGGATCTCAACAGCAATGCTGAAGTGGGCATGCTGGATTCTGACAGAGGAGGAGGAGGAGGAGGAGGATTCCTGAGCCCAGCCCATCTTTCATTCCTTTGTTTCTTCAATGGGTTTGCCAAAGCACTGGGAAGAGTGGTTGGGGGAGGGATGAGGGGACACCAGAACCCCAGGGAACTGCAGAGTGGGCTGGCCTGATCTCAGAAACCCTGGTTCCAGGGGTGCTGGCATGTTACTTGTTGAAAGCCAGTACCCTTAGCGCAAAGACGGGAGAAAAGCATCCATTTGGGAACGCTTGCAAGTGAGCTGGCATCCCTTTCCTACCTCTTCATGCTTTCCAAATGCCTTGGCCCAGCAACTGGGGACAAGAGGTGACCCACTGCCACCATAGCAGCGATGGCAGAGTCYGCACAACCTGATCCTGCTCCGAAGGCACCCCAGGAGCTTGGATGGTTTATTGAATAGTTTAGGTAGGGTCCTGCACTGTTTGTTACAAAAAATATTTCACAGGGTTATGCTGTAGAAATTAAAAATAAAAATTGTATATTTTTTAAATACACAGCTCTTGTATTAAAAAAAAAAGAAAAGAAAAACAAAAACAAAACAAGCATCTTGCTTTGTCGTAAACATCCGTGTAAGGAATGCGTTTGGTCCGGAGCAGAGGGCAACACAGGAGAAAGCCACTGGGGTGTCAGGATCACACTGGTGCCATCAGGGAGCTGCAGGGATGGAGCTGCGTGCTGGAATGCGCTGGGTCGTGGTCCCGCTGATGGAAGCCTGCACCTGGCGGGGGCTGGAGAGAGCGGTGCCCCATGGGGTCAGGAGCTGGAGTGGTGAAAGTGCCTTGGGAACGCTTCCTAGARATAGCTGGCTGCCTAAAATCACCGGCTCCCCCGCTGCAGTCCACAGCGGCAGAGGGCACTGGGGACCGCAACACCGTGGATGCATCCTGCAGGCTATGCCAGTCCCTGGACGATGCTGGTGGCCCGGCTGTCCCCATGGTGAGAATTGGGCTGTGCCATTGTTGGAGCATCCACGCCAGCCCGGTGCCCCGTCTCCCCTCTCCGCACCCCAACTGCCAAGCACCCCGGCACGGCGCACTTGCTTGCAGGGTTTTATTGGGAACAGCATGGTGACATGCAGGGGCTTCACTGTCCCAGGGCTGGCTCCTCCTGGCCCGGCACCGGGCGTCTTTGGTCTACGGCCGCTGAGTCTTGTGCATTCCCAACAGTTTGTGCCAGGGCTTGCAGCTGTTCACCCTCAGTGCCTGTGCCAGCCTGCGGCTCCTCCAGCCCGGCACGGGGCCAGTCCTGCGGCGGGGCACCTACAAGAGGTCACAGGTGCTGGTGTAAGCACGGGGGGACCCTTGGCACCCCGACACCTGTGTTAGCAGGGAGGGGAGCATCTCACCTTCAGCATCYGAGGTTGGTCCGGGCTCTCCCTCCATCTCTGAGAGGGACTCGTGCTTGGTCCTGTGCCTGAGCACAGGCGAACGCCGCAGGCGCAGGGGAACAGTGCCCACTGAGGGAAACACAAGCCCGCCCATGTTAGGGTGGGGCACAGTGGCCTGGCTCCTTAGAGAACCGATCCCAATATCAAGTTCCTCTGTTGAACTTCCCAGGGTGGCAGTGCCATTGTCTGTCACCCACCAGCTGGGACAGGCAGCATCACCATGCATGTGAAATGCCACCATTTGCTTCTGCTGCTGTTAGGTGCAAGGAGGGTTTGGAGTCCCACTTCAGACCCAACTTACCTCCCAGCTCTGCCGGGCGCTCGGGCTCCCTGAGCTGCTCCTCATGGACCGACAGTGCTCGGCGGCYGGGCCCCCGTGGCGCTGCCAGCCGTGCCATCAGCCGGTTGTCTGGAAAAGCAATGGAGAGGTGCCTTTGGAGGGGAGGCTGCAGCTCCCCGACCACCCGGCAGGCCCCATCAGAACCCAGCGCCCCGTGCTTGGCTCCCTGCTGCCCTCCATTTCCATGGGCTCCAAAACCAGGCCAGCAGTGGGATGAGGGACCCACGGGCAGCTTGTGCATCCCTACCTTCATTATTGGGCGGTGTGGGCAGGGTGGGCAGGGTGCCAGCACCCACCTCCCCACCATGGCTGACCCTCCGCAGCAGCGCCGCCGGCACGTTCCTGCCCAGCCGTGGCAGGCTGCTGCTCCAGCCCTCCCGGCCCCCGGGCTCCAGCAGCCCGCTGGGCTCTGCTAGAGTCAAGGAGCGCCGGGGCTGGTCRGAGCTGGTGGCCGGAGGCTCAGCGGGCAGCTGCCTTCCCAGGGCTTTCCAGGCTGGCCGGGGCTCKGCGCTGGGCTCCATCGTGGCAGCCGGGCTACGGAAGGGTGTGTCTGTGGGGCAGGCAGGATGGAGCTGTGGGTGTCCAGAAGTGATGGCCCCAGGGGTGGTTCTTGGTGCTGGAACCAGCCTGCAGCCAGCCCAGGGTCTGGGCAATGGGCTGGGTGTCCATCCGCCACCACCAGTGGGTGTAGGACACCCTCCCAAGGGTGGAATTGTGCCAATGTGCCTGAGCCCACCACTCCCTGCTGGCTTCAGTRCCCATGACTGATGCTGGGACAGGGGATAAAGCCCTCTGCCCCAGGGCTGTTGTGACCCCTCAGCATGCACTGGTGACCCACCTGTGGACACAGAGTGCGTGCGGGCCTTCAGGGACGGGGGAGAGTCCGCAGAGCTGTCCACGATGTCCCCTGCAAGCACAAGGCACCGGCCAGCATCAGTGAGCTGGGGTCTGCCCAGTGCCACCAGCGCCCAGCAAGGGGAAGATGTAGAGGGACCTGCAGCTGGGAGTCCAAGGGGGCCTCTGGCCCACCCATGGGTGCCCAGCTGGGTGGGGGTCGGGGTGGGGAGGATGCAGYCCCTCACCATCTGAGCCGGCTTTCTTGATCTCACTGTCTTTGCTCTGCAAGGGAAAAAAAACTGATAAGAGGGGTGTGAGGGAGGCAGTGCCCACAGAGATGATGGGCAGAGGGCAGGKTGCTGCCAGGCTGCAGGGGATGGGTACAYGCCAGGAAAGGAGGGACAGACAGASAGACACCATGCAGGGCATAGGAGCCCACCCCTCGCAGAGGGTTAGGTGACAGGGCAGAGGCCTTGGGCAGTGGCAGCGCAGAGCTGGGCGCTGCCAGTCTCAGCAGGGAGATGTTCCCCACCCCATAGACCACCATCTCCTACCCCCTGGAGGTGCAGGGTCCATCCCAAAAATGGAGTCAGTCCCCACCTGCTGCTTCTTGCTCTCAGCAGCCGGGCCCTTGGTGACGCCGATGCGATGGAGCATGACCTGCACACGCTGCTCGAAGGAGCTGGACAACTCCCCCTCGCTCTTCTCCAGGTGCCTCTTCTGCAGGAGAGACAGAGCCCTGCCAGAGACACGGACCCACCACAGCACCTACRGCACCCACACTCCTGCCTGCGGGGCACCCACCCTCCCAACCCCAGGCATGCTGCTGGGAGATGGTGACAGGGACACCACCCCGTGGGGATGGCCTCAGCCATCACTTCAGTGTCCCCGCATCCCCTGGTAACCCCACTGACATCCATGGTGGGAGCAGCACCCACCAGGTGAGCTGAGCAGCAGAGGTGGCTGGGTGGCTCCRACAGTGCTTACCTTGTCATGCCTGACCCCCAGCGCATCCTCGTCCTCCCCGGACAGCAAGATGAGCGACTGGGATTTGCCCTCCCGAGAGTACTTGGGCCGGATCCTTCGGGCAGAGTCGGGGGTCTGGCAGTGCTCGGGCTCTGTGTGGGGCTCCACAGAGAGCCCCCCCTCCTCTGATTTACTCAGGGGCTTCCCTGACTCGCCCGCCCTGCTGGGGGCTCGTAAAATGTCACTGAGCATCGAGCGCCTGCTCCTGGGGGCGGTGGGACCACCCTCGGGCTCCTTCTCACACCTCGAGCCCCGGCTGGATTTGGGTTTCTTGAAGGCAAAAAAATTCCCGATTTTCTTTTTGAGGGTGCGGGATCCAGAGGGAGCCAGAGGGGCTGATCCCGGGCAGCTCTCCGGAGTCGTGGGGCTGGGAAGAAAGGAAGCATTGGAAAAGGTGAGCTCCAGGCTGCCAAGGGGTAAGGGATGAGTTTTTTCCCCCTTCCCACCCTAAAGGGATGGATGCAGAGCCTGGACACACCACCTKAGATGGCAGTGTCCTGGCAAAGGCACCCATTCCCTGGCTCCCGTGGGTGCTGCCTCATTGCCACCCCACTGTGGAACACACTCTGTGGTCACATTCTGCACACCACGGCTGCCATCCCACTCCTCTTCCCCCAGCCCTGCCCTTGGCCGTGTCCCTGGGTGTGCTGCTTCCCCATCATGGCTTTGGCACTGGGAGCASCAGAGTTTGCAAGGGGCTGCTGAGATCCCAAGGATGGGTGTGAGTGAGCCAGGGCGCTGGGCAGGTGAGGGGCCCTGGACACCCCCAGGCTTACGGCAGTGTTTCTGTGATGACCCTCTTGGCAAAGAAGTCCTCCAGCCCCTCGTCCACTCGGGTGATGCTCCTGTCCTCGCTGTTCTCACAGGCCACGGGCTGCACCTGTGGGTGACAGYGGCTGTCAGCCCAGCACGGGGCAAAGGTGGCCCCAGGCATGAAGATGTGCCACCCATGCCTGGGCATGAGCAGGTGGGTGCTTCTGCAGGATGGTGCTGGTCCCTCCATCTTGTACCCAAGGCAGACCATGGTGTTACCAGCAGCATCCCAGCTCTAATCCTGCTCTCTCCTTGAGCACTGGGAGCTCCAGCCAGCCCCAGCTCCTTCCAGCCCCTTGTCCAGCACTGTGGCTGAGGTATGGCACCAGAACTGTGGGASAAGCCTTTGGCAGGGATGCTTCCTCCATCTGAGTTCCAAGGAAGGGACTTCTGTGCTGCTGGTGGGTGATGGAGCAGGTGACCTGCAGGGACCCACATCTGCATCCTTCAGATGTTGCGAGTCCAACCTTGGAGTGCCACCATGGCCTGCATGAGAGCCACCTGCTCCATCCCCATAACAAAGTGGTCCATGGCACGGCCAAGCCTTCCTCCATGGCACCTTCCTCTCCCTGGCATGTGGCACGGCACCATCCTATCGATGAGAGGGAGGCGCTTCCCCATCGGTGGCATTTCAATCCATAATGACTTTTCATTACGGCTGGATTGATGCCGTTCAGGAGCCGTTCCAGCCATCTGAGATCTGCTCTCCCTGTCACATCACATCCATCAGAGCCCATCCTTGCTCAAGCCTTGGCCCACCCTGRGTGCCAGGCGTGCCTGTCCCACTGCGGGGTGATGGCCCCCCCGGCCTGCCAACCTCCAGCACCCACCCTGCCCGTGGGACACAGCTCCTGCCTCCTGTCCGGCCCGGTGCCAGCCCTGATCCCACCATCATCCAAGGGCAAGCATCACCACGGCCGAGCAAGCCAGGGCTTTCCAGCGAGGGAAAGGATCCAGCTGCATCACGGTGGCAGGGGGATGAGATGATGGCAGCAGCATCCAGCCCCAGGGACAGCGACAGACTCGCCGCTGACTGCACCCAAAAGTTACTTTTCCTCTGGGAAGGGGGGTGCAAAGGCAGGATCCCCATCCAGTCGCCTGTTGGATGGGGGGAGCA